GCTCGTGCTCCAGCTTCAGCTCTTGGTTTCGGTATGACTAACACGCAGCAGCCGGGCATCGAACATTCTATATATAAAACCCCAGATCAGAGAATGGAAACATTGTAAAAAAAAATTAAAAGGGTCGAATTATGTGGGCTATTTGGAAACCGTTCAGTGGGGCAGTATAATTTTTATTTTCAGAAGCTTATGGACTGAACCCCACCCAGCTTCCAGCTCCTAAGAAAACTGGCGGAAGATGCCTGCCAAGTTTCCTCTCAAGGGCAGTAAAAGAGTAATCCTGTGCATCCCGGTTTTCATTTTAAAGAAACAGGAGACAGGCGGTGGCCTTTGCTGTCTTCGCAAATGAGCTTCCTTGCGCTGGGCAGCTAGTGGGTCTGGTGGGGAGCATGGGGGTGGGGGGGGCAGGGGCGGGGAGGGTGCTGTCCACGCAGGCTTGACAAGTATCTGGGCCCAGTGTATTCACAGTGCCCTGAAGAGAACACTTACAAGTCTGAGGAGAGCGCTGGTACTGGGTTGTTGAGTTGGGGGGACAGTTACGTTATAGCCTTAATGGCTTTTTGGTGAGTGGTCAGAAAAGCTGGAGTATAAATCTGTCTAGTTTTCACGAAACAAAGAACCTCTTCTCTACATGTAAAATTGTGTGTGTGTGTAAGGGGTTGGTGGTGGTACAGCTGTGGGGGAAATTAATTCAGAAATTAAATGGTGGAGCGAAAGGGAGTGAAGGGTTTTGGGGGGTACACTTTGGTGCTAGAGCACACACAGGCCAGTCGGAGGGTAGGATCCTTGTGCTGGAGAGGACTTGAGAAGGATTCGACTCGACCCTGTCTTTTACAGAGAAGAAAATGAAATCCCCATCGATTTGGCCTTTGGGCTAAGCCCTGCTTCTGAAAAACCATTGCCCTGAAAGTCTGGTTTGTCAACCCGGTGTGCAGTCCCTCTGCTTCTGGCTTGGTGCTGCTTGGAGGAGCCAGTGGCTCTGCCTGCTGAAACCCAGGTTGAATTCCTGGTTGGCAACTGCCAGCTGGAAGGCGGGGTTCCCCTTCTGGGCTGTGGGTTTCCCGTCTGACTCAGTGGCGCCCTCTCTGGGCGCTGGTGGAGAATCACCTGGGAAGGAAGTGTGTTGCTCTTCCAAACCCAGGGCTGGAGCAGAGCCGAGTGACCAACACTTGGCAAACAGCTTGGAGACACGGGGATCAGGTGTGCGTAGGCTTCTTGACTCTGCTGGTTTCCTGGGAGGTGCTGGGAATTTCCCCATTTCCTGGCAGAATTATTTTCATCTCTAAATTTCAGAGAAAGAAAGAGGAGTATTATCCATTCTTACCTGTGGGAAAGGTATTTGAACCTCTTTGTGAGGGCAGTGGGGAGTCATGGGAGAGTGCAAAGCCAGAGTAACGTGACCCGGGTAAGGAGGGGGATGTGGAAGACTGAAGGCAGGAGGCGGGAGACATGGCTGCTGCAATATCCAGTGAGGGAAGATGGTAGCCCGAAGAGGGGTCGTGGCCGGACAGATTTTTGAGATATTAGGGTAGGAAAAGCAGCAAGGCTTGGGGGTTGATTGGATGTGTCGGAGGAGGGCGCTAGTTGATCAAGATGACTCACAGGTCTGTTGGGCAGCGGGCTGGATGTGGTGCTGTGCTCAGAGCGGGGCAGGTAGAGGCGGCGGCTCTGAGGGTGAGATGATGATTCCGAGATGCCCAGGTTGGGCAGCCGGGTTGAGAAAAATTGAGTGACAGAAGCTTATGGCTCTGTCTAGATGGAGAGATGTATCGGCTTCACACGGTCAGAGCACATTGTTTCAACTGCAATGCTGATTGTATAGAAGAAGGGGACAGGGATGACTGGATCGTGCCTCCTGCTCCCTGCTGAGTTCAGTTCACAGTGAGGATCTGAGCGAGGTGTGTGGGTTTTCTCTGTCACTGGTAAGGAGTTCAACAGGAATTGATGAGGGTGTCCTTACTAACCAACAGGGGGAAAACATTCCATCATGACTGAAATAAACAAGTTTTCCTAAGGATTTTACTAAATGGAAAAAAAGAGATGCCCTTTTTTTCTTTTGTTTTTGGTGTGTTTTTTTTTGGGAATTTTTTTTTCCAGAATGACCTTGCCCTGGGCCCACATCATAAAGCTTGGAATTTGTGTGGGGCAAGGAAGGCATCGAGGAGTTGAGAGAACTTAAAGCAAATATATTTCGTCCCCAGTGAGAACTGCTGAGGAATAGGGTCATGTAGGGGAGAGAAGAATTTCGGATTGACATAAAAGAGGCTTTCTTATGGGGCAGATTTGGGAGACGAGCTGTGGAACTGGATTCTGGAAAGATTAGAGGGAACGAGAGAGACAGCCTTCTGCTGTAGAGGTTCATGGGGGGCTGGAGGTGCCGGAGACCCATTCCAAGGAAAGTCATGTTTCTGGATCTCACTTTCTGTTTCCTCCTGTCAAACCCCAGGCCCAAACAGAACAGAACCCTCTCTTTTCGCAAATAGCGCTGTTTAACTGAAGGACACAGTGGCCAAAGGTCGAATGTCATTTTGTTTTGGCAGCTTGAGACTCGAGAGGTAGAAATTCTAGTCTGGTTTGGGTTCTGACCCTCAATAACCTTGGGCAAGTCGCTTACTGGGGGCCCTGGTTTTCTCATCTGCAAGATGGGTGCCAAGAGTGCCTCCTGAGGTCTTGGGGGATTAAATGTGATTGTGTTGAGTTGTTATCACAGTGCCTGGCACAGGGTAAGCTCTCACTGAACGTCAGCTGTGGCTGTTATTGATCGTGACTGCCCTGCCTCCCTCACTGGAAGAAGAAACTACGCGATGTTAAACGTCTCTTAAAAGCAAAAGGTATGCAGAAGCTGTGAGGCTATCAATTACTATCATTAATAATGGGTTCACAATTCCTTTTGCCACAGTATTAAGTGAAGGCCCCTTTGGGTGGGTGATGACTGGGAACATGGGGGCTATTAATAATGGAGCCGCCAGCTCCTCTCACTAGATCCATTGACATCATATTTCTCTCTGGGAATCTTTTGACAAATGAGCTGGATTTCCTATTCCCTTGCCCTAAGCACTGTGAATTTGATCCACATGTCGCCTGTGTTGTTCCTGTGGGTTTATAATGGAGAAGGGGGAAGAGTGGGCCTGCCCGGGGACCTGTCGATGTGTGTGGAAACTGTCCAATGTTTGGGCTGTCCGTGGGCTTTAGCTTGCAGTTAGGGGAGGTTTCTCTTTGTTGTACTGGTTTTAATGCTCCAAGCCAGCTCTTCCTGGTGTGTTTGGGTGCTCAGCTGTCAGGGAGAGTTTCTGCTGTGAGGGCAGTGCTGGGGGCGGGGGACCCAGTCTTGCCCTCCTCCTCCTTCTCCTCCTCCCGCTGGAATCACAGCTTGGAGGAAGTGCTTTGATGCCGTGCTCTGCCAAGTCAGCGCCAGATGTGGTGGGAGGGGCCGCTGCCATCAAGAGGGCGAAGGGAGATTCTGGGGCAGGCCTCAGCCACACCAAGGCAGCAGTGCCCGCGGAGGGCAGGGAGGCTGCGTCAGGGGAAGGGCGGGCTAGGAGGGCAGGGCTGACCCTCAGCTGAACCTACGGAGTGGTCAGAGAACGCTGCCAGGTCTGGGCAGAAGGAGGGCGGCCCTGTGTGTTTGCCCCGAGAAAGAGAAGCACATGCGACAGCCTGGGGGCATCTGTGGGTGAACCGGGCACCAGGAATACGGCAGTACTGTCATGTGCACAGCCACTCAGTCAGAACGACGCGGTGCGCTTGCTGGTGCGCTCGCTGGATCTGGCTCACAGAGGGGTTAAGTGCACACTTTCTAGAGCCGTCAGACCTGGATTCGACTCCTAGCTCTGCTACTTACTTGAGCAACTTATTCCAACTCTCTGAATGTCTGTCCCCCAGTATCTAAAATGGAGACGGCAGTCCCCGCTTTGTTGGAAGAATAAATGCGATAATGTAAATAAGGCCTGCGTCCCTAGCACACAGTAGAAGTAATGGCACCATCTCCCGGCAGAGCATTTACTCTGAGCCACACGCTAGCTCTGAGCCACACACTGGTCCAAGGGTAGCCATCCTACAACTCAGTCCATCCTCACGGCTACACTACAAGGAAGGCACTGTCGTTACCTCCAGCTAGCACACAAGGAGTCTGAGGCACAGAGGAGTGGAGTGGCTTAGCTGAGATCACATGGTGGGTTAAGTGACAGAGCCATGAACCCAGCATTCCTGCTGGAGGGCCATCTTAACCGCTCGGCCGCATGGCCTGTGGCTGTTGGCATCCTTGATACATTTCTCTGTTCGGGGTAGGGAATTCTAACCCAGATTTGGCTACGTCCCAGGGGCTGTCCAGTTATCTCAAAGAGTTTTAAGAAATTTTCCCAAAAGTGACTGATTAAATTCCTGTGGGTATTTCTTTGTCAGGGGGTTGGACAAAGAGGCATAGATCAAAGAAACAGCAGTTACCAAAGCTGGGACTCTGTGTGGCCACACGCCCTGAAGAACCAGCGTGTAATTGAAGCCGGTCTGATTTTGTTTCTCTGGTGCTTTCTAAGAAGCCACACAGTGGGGGGGATTACAGGCTGCCGCCCCTGGGACTGGTCTGACAGCTCTGCTCCTCAGCTGTTGAACTGCTAATGAGAAACACCGGGAGCTGGGCCACATCCTCTTCTTGGGGTGGAGACGGAGCACTCCTTTCTCTGTGGTCTCTTGTCCAGAAGGAGAGGAGGCGGCTGAGGGAGGGAGGGGACTCTGGGGGCGAGGCTGCCCTTTGGGTGGGCAGGGTGGACCTTTACGTCCCCGAGCTCCGTGCAGATGAAGCCAGGCCTCCCCGTCACCCGCACCCTGGGTGCAGCACGGTGCCCGGGCCGAGCGAGACCCTGGAAACGTCCAGGACGTGAAGAAGGGAAGGACGAGGGCGCTCTCGTGTGGCCCACTAGCCCACGTACGCCAGTTCCTTGTGCAGCTGTGGCCTGCGGAGCTTTCCTTCCCCCAAGGTGACCTGTCTGCCTTGTTTCCCGCAGGTGTCCTCTCCCTCCCCGCGTACTTCAGCCCCTACAGCGGCGGGGCCCTGGGCCATGACGAGCGGGCAGACGCCTACGCACAGCTGGAGCTCCGCACCCTGGAGCAGTCCCTCCTGGCCACCTGTGTGGGGAGCATCTCAGAGCTGAGTAAGTGTGCCGTCCCCGCCCAGCTGGCTCTAAGGGCAAGGCTCGCCTTCTGGACTCTGGCCTCCTCCTCCTCCACGCTTCCTGCCTTCTCTGAAAGCCAGGTCCTTCCAGGCCAGAGGTTGCAAACTGGTGGCCCACAGACATGTATGGTTGGGCCGGCATGTGGACTTGATCACGTAAATCTGGATTTCTGGGTTCTCTTGAGAAATCAGATGGTCTAGCGACCCTGTGCCTATTCCTGCATGGCGGCCCTCGGGGGAGCCAAGCAGCTAGTTTGTGTTCCCCACCCTGTGACACACCTCGCTGTCTTACAGCTGGCCTGTGTCTTCCATTCATTTTACCTGCCTGGCCCCAAAGGCTCTGAATTGACCACCAGTGTTCTTTCTTGAAAGAATGCAGCCCTGAGACCTCAGTGTAGGAAAGGGGAGACACGAGCAGAGCTGCTCTGGTGGAAGGAGGGTGTGGTCGGCAGCCTCGGCCCTGCAGTGGCCCCGGGTCACCCAGGGTCTTAGGCTCCTGGAAAACAGGGGATCCCTTTGGTCTAGGTCATCACCGTTGGACAGCTGCTTCGGAAGGGCGTGTTAGGAGGCAGGAAGCCCCCGTCCCTGATCTCTCCCTCTCTTACCCCGGTGATGTGAGACAACAGGCCCCCCTCTTCCTGGGTGCCCCTGGCTGTGGCACGAGGCCGCCCCGTGGAGGGCGCTGACACCTGCGGAGCACGCTGTGGAAGCAGGTGGCGCCCACTCTGCCGCAGCCTTTCCCAGCTGTGACTCCTGTGAGTTTTCTGGCTCCTGAACAGTGGCTGACAGACCTTTTTGCTTCTTCAGGACTAGCTTCCTCCCGCCTTCCTCCCTCCGTTCTCCCTGCCCCTTCCCAGGACAGGAAGTGAAGGTGCTGGCTCAAGGTCGCGCAGCAGTCAGGGCTGGGTGAGAGGCGGGACTTCTGGCTCTGTCTCCTGGGGCCCCACAGCAGTCTGGGCCGCCCCAGGACCCCGCGGGAAGCGGGCTCAGGTGTGTGGCTTGATCCCCACCCTGACACTGTCCCCTGGACAGGGGCTGTCTTGCGGGCCAAGCACGGTCCGTATTGTGGTGAACTCTCCTGCCCTGAGAACAGTGAGGGACGCACTCAGCTCTCAGTGCACTGGGGACCACCCTGGTTTCACGTGACATTTTGAACTTTAAGGGAGCGCTTCCTGTGTGTAGGGTGTCGCATGAAGCACTGTACGCGCAAGGTCTCACTCACTCCTCAGGACAGCTCAGTGAGGCGTGTCCTGATGAGGGAACAGGACAGTACAGTCAGAAGAAAAGTGACTTGGCCCGTGGCAGACGGCTCCTCAGGATCAGCAGCCAGTCCCCTACTCAGGGCTTCCTGGACGGGCTCGCTGCCCAGCCTCCAGCACCCCAGGGCAGCAGAGGTCATGGATTGGATCTACGCCTTTGCCTTTTCTCATGGCGGCCTCTGTGCCCAGGACAGTCCACAGCCAGGCAAAGAGGAGTGTTCGGAAACTTCCCTCGGGGGACGGGCTTGTCGTCAGTCTGTCCTTACCACCATTCAGCCCCGGACCAAGTCCTATTGGTTCTCCTTCTAAAACTCGCACGTTTGCCCCTTTCACCACCTCCACTGCTACCAACTCAGCCCAAACCAGGGCCATTTAAGCCACAAATTGGATTATGTCACTCATCTGTTCAGTGTCCCCTCCATCCCCCCATGGCTTCCTGGCTCACTCAGTGAAATCCAAAATCCTCACTGTAGCCCAAGATCCACTCTACAATCTGGCTTCATTGCCTGCTACTCTTCTCTTGTTGACTGTGCTCCCAGTGTCCTGGCCCAGTATCTCCCACCCCAGGCCCTTTGCACTAGCTGTTCCCTCTGTCTGTGACCCTTTCCTCCAGATACCCAAATAGGTTGGTCCTTCACTTTCTTCAAGTCTCTGCCCAAATGACACCTTATTAGACAGGCTTCCCCTGAGCACCCCACTCTCATTCCTCTGCCTCCCCTCTTGTGGCTTTGGTTCATTCAAAGTCCTGATTGCCACTTGATGTTTATCGTATGTTTACTTGTAAATAGTGTGTCATCTCTCTCCTCTGACTAGAATTCAACTTGAGAATAGAGACTCTCTCCCTGTTTAGTCCCCTGCTGTGTCCCCAGTGATGAGACCAGTACCTGATGTTGTGTGTGTGTTAGAAGGAAGGAGTTCTCTGTTGCCCACTGTCTGTCCCCTGGGACCCACCTAGGATTGGTCTGCAGCCCAGCCTGGCCCCTCCTCAGGGCGAAGGGAAGCAGACCCCAGCATCTTTTCACAGACAGCCACACAGGCTGTGTAAGCGCCGAGTTGCCCCAGCGCCCTGGCTCTGAGACCAGGCTTTTTGCTAAGCCCTGTGAAGCAGGGAGGGACAGAGGCGGAGGCAGATAGTACAGTTGTTCTCTTGCAGACGAAAGAACTTAATGAGGCTACCGATACTTGGCATTGAGCTGCTTGTACCTGAAAGTTTACCTGGGTTAACATGCCTTAACTCCGTGCTGCTCGCCAAGACCAGCCTGCCAGGGAGTCAGGACAAGCTGCATTCTTGTGTCGGGCCCAGCTGCACGGGGAGCTCCTGCTTGTGTCTTCCTCGGTCCCTTTCTACCCACGAAAATGTCAGTGGGAGGGAATACAAAATAAAGCAGAACACCTCTCTTGAAAGGTAGCCAGATGGTGTAGGCCTCACTTTGAAGACAATGCTGAATTCCAGACCCTCGCCTGCTGTTTTTATTTGATGGCTCATCATGAGGGTCAGACAGACCAGAAGGAGCACCTATCGCCCCTCCAGTCCAGGCGCTCAGGGTTCTCAGGCAGTGAGGGCTATTCCCATGCCTCGGGGGTTTCTGGGCCTCAGACTCAGGTCCCGTCCAGCTGATGATCATGGACTCTCCAGTGCGACAACGTTGCAGAAGCCACTCTGAGTGCCCCCCGTGCCGAACCAGGAGCGCAGCCAGCCTGGGCCACGGCTCTCAAACTCTGGTGACAGCAGGGATCTTATGCCCCCGCTCTGTCACAGACTGAAACTTGCATAAAATACAATAAGAATGAACGTCTAGAAAAATGAAATAAAAGACATATAAGGTGCAAGCCAATTTTTTTATTATGACATTAGATAGACGTAGAATCCCTCTGTCAGATTGCTCTGGAAGCTTTTTAAAGCTCGCTCTCAGTTTCTGAAATTACCTTGTTGTGGGCCGGTAACAGTGTGCAGCCCATCCAGGCTCACAGACCATGCTTGAAGTGGCCATGGTGCAGTGGCCAAGTGCAGGCATTTGGGACACAGGGACCTGGTCAAGTCTGGCTGGCTCACTGTCTCGTCGTGCGAGTGGGACAAATCGTGTGACTTCTGTGAGCCCCTGTCCTCACCTGTAAAATGGAAATACCTCCCTTACGGGGTAGTTGTAATATAAATGGGACTTTGTCTCTTTTCGTGTCTGTCACGAAGCCTTGAAAACATAAGGTGCAGGGAAGAAAAGCCACCTGGGGGGCTGTCCACAGTGAGTGGCTTTCTCTGGCCGTCACGAGGGCTGTGGCGCAGTGGAAGGGTCTAGAAGCCGCTCTGCGTTGTCTGCAGGCGCCTGTCGTCTTGCTCTTTGAGGGAGACGGACAGTAGCACGCAGCTGGGCTCACAGCAGTGTCTGGGGACCTCCGTCTCCAGCTGCCGCTCTGCTGCCTTCGTGTTCCCGAACCTTCGGAAGGCTTCTCTCGGTTCCTGGCTCCCTTTAGGGAGCTCTTAGGAGGTGCTTCCATGGCTTTGTGGATTTTCTCTCCTGCATTCTGGCTGGAAGTGTGCTGCCAAAGGCTTCTACACCGAAAACCATAGGGCAATCATAAGTGTAATTACACATAATGACTTCTACCTCGTGGAGCCTTCGAATTGATACTTCACCAGAATTTCTCTTTGACGCTATCACGGAGTCTTGGACTTCTCCTCGTTGTGGTCCTGCCAGAAGTTAAGACGTTTAGACTTGGAGAAATGGGAGCCAGGTTTCAACTTACTGCAGCCAGCTGAGCTGTCCACCGGGCCTCTGGGGGCGCGGGCTGGCCTGGGGGCTGTCGATGCCAGTTTCTACCACCCAGGAACCCGCAGGCAGGGCTGGCGTGGGGCGTTTCAGGGACTCCTCCTGTCCTGGGAGACGTGGGGCAGAGGTCCTGGAGGGAAGGGTGCCGCGGGAGGCGGCCTGTGGGATAGAGGAGGAGTAATAATAGGACGGTAGCGAGAAGGCTGTTAGATTTCACCTGCACCAGCTCCTTCCGCTGGGCCAAGCATGGTGTTAAGTGCTTTACATTTATTAATTATTTGGCTCCTCATGATTTTCGGGTTAGATATGATTATTCCCATTTTATAGACAAGGACGCTGAGGCTCGGACGAGGAAGTGGCGTGAGGCGCACAGGCGGGAAGAGGCCGACTGCCGATTTGGTCTGGAATCTGTGCTGTCCTCCATTACGTGGTGGCTCTCACACCCGACTGGAATAGGTTCACTGAGGGAACGTGGACAGTACAGATGCCCGGGCCTGCCCCAGACCAGTTCAGTTGGGTCTCGGTGGTGGGACCCAGCGTCAGGAACTCGGTGCCCTTGCCCGCCTGGCCCTGGGTGGCACGGAGGCACCCGGCAGCTGAGCCCCAGCTGCAGGGAGAGCAGAGCCAGGCACGGGGAGGAGGCCCCGGAGGGGCGTGTGGAGAAGGGTGCTGTCGTGGGAGCACGTGGCAGCAGGTGAGCTCCAGTCCAGCCCCAGCAGAAGCTGTGTTTAGAAATGGAATGAAATGGATGTATGAGGCTATTCTTCGTTCTCCAAATGCTTGCTGAGCCCCTGTTGGCGGTGGACCGTGCAGGGGGCTGGGGAGCAGGGCACAGACTCACAGAGCTGCGGAATGAAGGCTGATGGGGTGAATGGGTGATGAGGGACACTTCACTCACCCAATTAAAACCTGCTCACTTCTCCCACCTTGGGGGCAGCAGTGTTCAGAGGCTTTCTCCAGAAGGGGCTGTCTGTAAGGAACCCCCACAGATGGGGGAAGCTGACCCATGGGGGAGGCCCCCACCCCGAGTTCTCAGGCCTGAGGAGAATGGAAAGGCACCACTTTTCCCGGAACAGAGGGGCCGCAGGTGCCTGGGGCCGTTCACCCTCCGTTCTCAGCGTTGTGGCCTCACACAATGATGGGACGTTTCCTGTCTCGGCCGGGGGTTTTGAAAAGACTTGACTTGGGCAGAAACGCAGCGCAGGATGTGGGGACCCAAGGACCCCACCGACTTCAGTAGGCCAGGCTGCAGCCCTGTCACGTTCCGTCCGTGGACTTGGGAGTCAGACAAACCTGGAATCAAATCCAGGCCTTCCCGTTTACTGTCGACACGACCTGGGCTAGTTAACCGAGGGCACGGTGGCCTCCCTGTGACCAGGGGATGCGTGGGGTCAGTAAATGCATATTTACCAGACAACCCTCAGTTTCTTCATCTGTAGAATGGGGATAATACTTGACCCCAGGATTGTAAGGATCAAGTTAAATCCTGTTTCTGAGGAATTGACCACGTGGCACATAGTGAGCACTCGGTGGTGGCAGTGGACGTACTTGAGAAGGTGGAGGTGGAGGCGGCTTCTCTGCTGGGGTACCTCGGGTGTGCACGAGCCAGCACAGGGGAGGTCCCCACGCAGCGGCACTGGTGGTCGGAGGCTGGGAGCAGAGGCCCGGAGACTGCCGTGGTCAGAGAGCTGGGGAGAGGCCCGTGCGGTGGTGGAGAGAGTGGGGGTGTCGGAAAAGAGACCATGTTAGTGTAAGTTCTGGCGGAGGAGAGCCATGCCCAGCGTGTCATTGGGCTGTCAGAGCGAGACTGAGACCGTGAGGGAAAAGGAAAGGGAACTGCTGTGTGGAGGGGACAGTCCCCCCATTGGCTCCAGGGTGACCAGGCATTGCGCGCCACCGCAGAAGAGGGACTTTTCTCCGTAGCTCCGGTGTCCTTGGAAGATGTGCACTGTGACTCACGTTGTCGTCTCTCTCCTCTCTTCTGCCCTCCCCGCCAGGCGACCTGGTCTCCCGCGCCATGCACCACATGCAGGGGCGCCACCCCCTGTGTCCTGGCTCCAGCCCTGCCCGCCAGGCCCGCCAGCCGCCCCAGCCCATCACCTGGTCCCCCGACGCCCTCCACACGCTCTACTACTTCCTGCGGTGTCCACAGATGGAGTGCATGGAGAACCCCAACCTGGACCCCCCGAGGATGGCCCTCAACAATGAACGGTAGGGGTCGTCCTCGGGCTGCACGCCTGGCGGGGCATGCTACCCAATGTGTGTTGACTGACTGACTGACGGACAAGGTGAGAAGAGGGCCCTGGCGCCGGCCTGTGTGCCTATGAGGAGGCCGCTGGCACCGGCAGGGGCTGGGAATGCAGATGGATGAAGGCCTGGCCCTGGCACGCAGTAGGGGTTTTTCCCCCGGGCTGATGTCGTGTGGGGTCGTTGAGGCCAAGAATGTGGGCTTCGGCCTCGTCTCAGGTTTACTGGCTCTAGCACGTACCAGCTGGGCTCTCTGAAATTCAGTGGCCTCTTTTACAAAGTGAGGTATTCACACCGACCTAGACAGGTGTAGGGAGAATCAGGTGAGCCAGCGCTCTGAGAACACACAGGACGGTGTCTGGGTGGTAACTGGCCCTCCATCAATGGTAGCCGTCACCTCGTTTGATGACGATGACATCACTGTTATCATCTTTCCTGTGAGGGGTCTTAGGCATCTTTTGCCCCATCCACTCATTTTACAGATAAGAGCATCGTGGCTCTGGCAGGTTATTAGTTGGATAGCCCCAGGATTCAGGCTTGCTGGCTCCCAGTCTGGTGCTCTCTCTACACCATCCCAGCCCTTGCCCAGCTGGATGCAGGGAACAGATGTATGCTATGAGTAGATGCACAGGTTGTGTACTACACAAGGGGACCCAGCGAGAGGCATGAGTGGGAGACACACACTGGACTATGTCCATCTAAGGACAGGCTGCCTTTTCTAATTGGTCGGCTCAGAGGGCCACCTTTTTGAAATTTTCTGCCTAGAAAGGATGCTTTTCTTTGCCCTGTACAGCATATATGCTGGCATAAGCCTCACCTGGAGGCCACCACATGGCCACTCAAGGCAGGGTCTCTCCGTGGGCTCGAGAGTCGTGTGCTTGAAGGTCCAGGGAGTGGAAGGATTTGCCTTCAGTTTAGGAAACCCTGTCTACGTACATCACTCTACACAGCAGGGCCAGGAAGAGGGGAGCCCGAGGGCTCTGTGCCCATCGTGGAGGAAGATGACCTGAGACCTCGATGCAGAAAGTGCTGTCGTTCCTAGTCCCCCCCGCCCCTTGTCTTTGGATGGCGTGGGGTCTCACCAACTTCTTGGTCCTCACGCCCACCCCACAGCCAGGCCCACTTCTCCGGTGCCTCCACGGGCACAGAAAACAAGGGTGCGAAGGTGGACTCCTGCCCATGGCTCATTAAAGATGGCCACCACGAGCACATCGGAAATCCGCAGACAGACGGCAGACACTGGACACTGGGAATGCCGTGGCCCTGGAGTCAGGGGCCTGGGCACAAACAGCACCTCTGGCATTCACGGACCTTGAGACCTGTGTGCAAGCTTCCAGACCTCCCTGCGCCTCGGTTTCCCCAGCTGTGAACGTGGGGGGGTACTGAAGCAGCTGTCGGGATGAAATCATGCCAGTCGGCCTTCCTGGGGCCTTGACTCTGTGCTGGGTGCTGTGCTGGCTTCGTGCGTGTGCGCTCGCTTATGCACACGCTCCCAGGAGATGGGTGCTCTTCACAGCCCGTTACAGATGGGTCATTGGAGGCCGGGAGCCATGCGGTGATGTGCCAAGGCCCCAGGGACTCTGCTAACAGCCACTACCCATGCTGTCTGTCGTTACGGGCGACTAAGGACACGCGTGCAGTAGAGTCCTGTACATCTGCCAGCGCGGCTGTTGTTACTGGTATCGCTATTAGATCATCACTGTCTTTCTTTCTCTGGGAGATGGACAGTGAATGCAGGACCGAGGCGGGTTGCTCTGGCCCTGACACAGAACAAGAAGGCAGTTTTGTGGGGCCCGGCCCAGTGGCATAGCAGCTAAGTGCGCACGCTCCGCTTCGGCGGCCCGGGATTCGCAGGTTCGGATCCCGGGTGTGGACCTATGCATTGCTCATCAAGCCACGCTGTGGCGGTGTCCCATATAAAGTAGAGGAAGATGGGCACGGATGTTAGCCCAGGGCCAATATTCCTGCCCCACCCCACCCCCCAAAAAAGAGAAGGGAGCAGGTGGAAGCCCCAGGTGTCTTCAAGGAAGCACCCAGCAAGGAGGTGGAACCAGAGTGCGAGCCCTAAGCCCCAGCTGCTTCTGATTTGTGGAGAAATTGTGGTTGCCTGAGCTGGCTGGGAGGACAAAGGGAAGGAAAACTTACGGGGGACGGGGCCTTGCTTTGGTAAGGTTCCCAAGGGTGCTGGACCCGCCTGGTCACCCAAGCAAAAGGAGTCTGGGAGGAGAGGACGGGGCGCCTTCCTTGGACCCACTGCCTGGGCTGGGCTGCTTGGCCCTCTGGCTGTGACCGTGGCTGTTGGCCACGGGGCAGGCCAGGGCACTGACACCTCTGTGGGCGCTGTGCTGGAACCCCTTGGACGTCTTTGTGGCTACCCCCGGCTCTCCTCCTGGAGGAGTCACAGCCCCAAGGCTCTGAAAAGCAGCATCAGGGTTCTGTAGGATCTCAGCAGCTCGTCTGTATGTGCTTGTGGTCGCTGAGCTCCAGTGGTAGCACACACACGTGTGTGTGTTTAGCTATATCCTTATTTAAAAACCACACTGCCTGTAGCACAAAGAAATTGGTAGCAAAGGCATTTTTCCATGATTCATTTCAAATGAGTATTAGACACATGAGAAACTGGAACCACGGTTAGGAAAAAAGAATCCAAACGTTTCGGGTTGGGCACTGCAAGGAGGGCACCCTAGAAATACCCAGGCCGGCAGGCGGCCCGCAGCTCTCCAGTGCCCGGGTCTTGGCTGCTGAAGCGCATCCTGCTGCGCCTGGACTCCCTGTGATGGGACCGGCCCCGGAGTCCGTGGAGGGCCGGCTGGCCATTCCTGGGGCCACTGAGCAGACTGTGTGTCCCCTGAAGGCACCGCCGCCCCGCCATCCTCACCCGAGCTCCGGGGAAGCCCTCTCCTCTGCACAGAGCAGCTGGAGTCTGCTGGGGCTCCGGGGTCACGCAGCTGTGCCCTTGTGAGTCTGGGGCCGGCTGTCTGTCTGCTGCCCAGCGCCCCCCCCCCCCTTTCATTCCCTGGAGTTCCTTCCTCTGCCCCACATCAGGGGCATGGGGGCCAGGTCCACAGGTTTCGGGTGTGACGGCGGGTGTGTGGCCCCAGAGGCCTTCTGGCAGGGGATTTGGTGGTCTGGGGATTTCTGGGTCTGTCTGTTACTACGTGACCTCTCCCACTGCCTCGCACACGTGGGCTAAGAGCTCAGTGTGGCCGCGTGGGTTTGGCCACATGGCACCATTGGTGGTGCTGCTCAAGTTTGTGCTCACAGATTTCTGCTTTGAAAGAATTGCCCTTCTTATTTCCAGTTAGGGGCTGTGTGACCACATCTGTGCCGATAAAGGGTGGGGACGTTCGTCCCTCTCGTGTGAACCTGCTGAACCACGGGCTGCCTCTGCACTGTTCTGGGGGGGCCTTGGCACCTCTCTGTAAGGGCCCTTCTCCCCAGCCTCCTGCTCCGGGGGTGGGAGGGGAGATGGTGGAGGAGGGACTTGTAGAAACAGCGGGAGCTCAGGGTGGCCAGCAGGGAAGCTTTGCAAGGGACATGGAGGCACTAGAACGACTTCCATCTGCTGCTACAGTCAGCCAGGCAGCCCAGGGGAGAGCACGGGCTTTGGAGCAGAGGCCCGGGCTCAGATCCGCCCCCCACGCCTCAGGCTCCTGGTCTGTAAAATGGGGCTGAGTGGTCTCGCTGGGGAGGACAAAGTGAGGTAGCACATACAAAAGTAGCCAGCTCTGCCTTTTAAAGGGCGTTTCTACCCGCTTCTGTTTCTCTTGTACCCAAATCAGCAAGGTGGGTGCCAGCATTACCTCCATTTTACAAGGGAGAGCGGGAGGCTGGGGGGCGCCTGGCTGCTAAGTAGCTGGGCAGGGATTCGAACCAGGTGTGTTTGACCTGGAAGCCCTTGCCCTGCACCATACCAGCACAGCTTTCGCAGCTGGCTGCTGAGACCTGGTCCTGACGCTCGAGGACAAGCGTCAGGGGCCACCTGACGCTGGGGCCACCTCCTCTGGGGCCCTTCCAGCCCCACCTTCCTTGCCACTCACGGGGAGCCCCACGGCTGGAGCCTCCCTGCAGCCTCCCAGGATGCCGTTCTTGCTGGCAGCTCTGCAGCACAGGCACCAGCGAGGCACAAAGCAGCATCTCAGACACAGGATTAGTCACAGCTGCTGCCCTGCAGGGCATGTCATCACCTGAGACCAAGCTCAGCAAGAGAAAGAACTTCCTGTCAGAGATCCAGGGTTACCCTGCGAGAGGGAGCAGTCTCCTTCCCCTGAGGTCTGGAGGAGAATGGACAGCCATCTAGCTAACTGTGGTCCTTGCTGGTCGAGCCTGGAGGCAGAGGGATGGGCAGCTGGAATAGCATCCTGGATGAAGGATACCTCCTGGGTCATCGTCCTCCAGGGAACGAGGAGTTTGGGAAGTGGGGAGAAAGGCCACGTGGACATGCGGAGTGGCAGGAGGTCCGCCAGCTCGCCCACAAATTGCCAGGAGAAAACATTATTGAGCAGAGTGCACGGAGGGAGACAGACACCGTGCGAGGGCGGAGGTGGACAGGAGGGGAGCCGATTCTCCACGTCAGAGTGTCGGGTGCTGGAGGGCCCGGCTCACCGGACAGCGTTCCCGAGCACACCGTCTGGCAGCAGCAGCAGAGCAGCAGACCTGAAAGGAGTATCTGGGGCTACTGGGTGTGACGGGGACCACTTGTCCATAAACCAGTCCATCTGCTGAAGCCTCGGGCTCTGGGCCCTTGCCTCCCTCTCCCCAGTCCTGCACAGTGCCCTTTGTGGAGGGAGGCACTCTCAGCAGGCTTGGGGCCTGCCGGTGTTCAGGACACCAAGCCAGGGGGAGCCCAGCCAGAGTCTGATTTGGGATGGAGCCTAGAAACATGTGGTGTCACGATTTCTTACAGCCGGAACTCGGTCTGAGGAGGGAGCTGCTATCCAAAGATGTGCATTTGAGATCTAACT